GGAGGTGGTACCCTTCAGCCACCCCCCATCACAGGCCGGCTCCGTGCCAGGCCTGGCTAGAGGGGAGTGGTCACCCCCACTGCCAGCCCAGTGCATCCAGCCTAGTGATCACAGCAAGCGAGTGCCAGCACCTGAGGTGCCCATTCCTCTGCCAAAGCCCACGGGAGGCAGAGCTCCAGAAGGAACTACTCGCAGCATGGGTTGCATCAGCTTTAATTTGACAGTGGGGTGTGGTGCTGCAGATGGCTGCTCCCAGCTGATAATGCTTCTCATTAGCTCAAAGAAGACCTTCAACCTGTGTGGGTAATCGCTTAGTGTGAGATGAATGAGAGTGATTGTGAACCTTGGTGAGATACTTCTGGGTCCAGTTCTGATAAGTCCCATCTGTGCTGGCCTCCCAAGAGAAAGGACCATCCAGGAAGGGGTGGGAGGGCATATCTTGGAGGGAGTCTCCTTCAGTGTAGTGAGTAAGAAATTCATGCTCCTCCCTTCTGACCTCTGCTACCAGTGATTCAGATTTTGTTGTTTTGAAGGGTCAGTGTTGGGCTATGTTCTTTCTCTGTAGTCTTCATTTCTGCTGAATCTTTTTGCTGTATGACATGTGCACTTGCTAGCCTAGCACTTCTCAGCTTATTGCTTTTTTTATTCCCATAAGCTGAATGATTGTAGGTCTTCTCAGATCAAGCCAATTATTCTTTTGACCCCTTCTTTGTTATTGATTCCAGTTTTCTCCCTTCAGCTTGAGGTCTCTGATACAGTTTTGGTTTTGTTTCTTTCTCTGGAATCACAGCAGAGATATTTAGGTTAGACATTGGAAGAAAACATCTAATGGAAAAGGCGATTAAGCAGTAGAATTGACTATGTAGAGAAAAACATTATCTTCTTTATTGGAGAAATTAAAGAATATGTTAGGTTAGAAATGACTGGAGCAGCAGTGACCCTGCTGTGGTGTGAAATGATTAGCTAACCATTAAAGTTTTTTCCAGGTGCTCTGATACTGTGAGGGTGGGTTTATTGTGCTATAGTCATGTAATAGTAGCCTATATCTAATTTCAGTTTGTCCTTTTGTTATTGAGTGCAATGATTGCTGTCCTTGCTTTAGACCTAAAGAAGGGCTCATGTGCCAGCAACTGATGCTGTTTCTTTCCTCATTTTATCAGCTGGTCTTATAAAAGCTAATTCTTTTTCTTGCCTCTCTGATACATGAGTTCACCCCCCCCTTTCCTCTCCCTGTGCAAGAAGTAGAATGAAGCGGTTGTTGTGACATCTGCCTTTAATGCTGGCAGGCTGTCAGCCGAGGAGCCTTGTGGTGACACTGCATTTTTAGTACTCTTCTGAGTTCAGGCAGAATGGGAAGTGGAGCTGCACAGAGCAGGTACTGCTGTTCCTGCTGCCTCATTACTGCTTTTCCTCAGAGAGCTGCAGACACCTTTTCAAGACTGAATATTGTCCCAGCTCATGCATGTGTGTGTCCAGGAGGGTGGGGAGAAGAAGTGAAATACAGAGCTGGTGAACAAGCCAGACCCTTCACTCCCAGCCCTGCTCTAGTATCTCGACATGTTCCAAAAGGATGTTAAGGCATGTAGCTAAAAGCTGGGAGGTTTTCTTTCTTCTACCAAACAGTGGTAGAAGAAACTTAATGTTTTCAGCAGGGAGAGTTGTGCAATATACAGTGAGAGGCTGGAACTGCACCTCAGCACAACCTTAATACTCCTCCTTGTCCAGTAAGTCATATTCAGAAGAATTGTATTCCCATCTTGCACTCCAACAAGCTCTCTCTGAAATAGATGGTCTGGAGCCCTGATGAATGTAATGCACATGTAAATAGATAGCATGGTTCAGCTGTGGCCTAAGCAAGTGCAAATTCCTTGACCAAAATGGAATTGTCTCTGTTTACATAAAAAAGGATAGAATTTGGCTTTGTAGCCTAAGTGGTGGCATGTTAAACAGCTGAGCTGTCAGACCTCTTGTGTCTTTGGTTTGTTCTTGATCTTATAAAATGTGGATCTAATAAAACAGTTTTACAACAATATGAAATGTGCACTCTCTATAAAAACTGCTGTGTGACAGATTGACCCTCTTGGTGATTTCCATTTGAATTTGAGTCCTAAATGCATCAAGATGGATGAATCAGTAACTGAGTAGCTACAGATCTAGTGGAAGAGGCATGCTCAGTTACTGCAAGGTACTCATGAATTTTCCATGTGATTATCTTCCTTGACTTTTACATTTGACATGTAGTTTTTCTTTCTTTTGCTCAGATTTTGAAAAACAAACAAACAAAATGGGATGAAAGCCTGGCCAGGATAGTTACTGGTGGAAGGATGTTAATTTTGAAATTATTTTAACTTTTAATAAATCAGAGCTTGTAGCAGAAGGGAGGATGCTTTTTTGTTATATTTTTTTCTTACTTGAAACAAAGATGAATAAACAGGTCTTTACTTTAAACCTTCTGAATCAGCCGGGGTTATTTAAAAATGTGAACTTTTTCCTCTCATTGTATAGGGACCTCAAACTGGTCCATAATACTTCAAAGAAGTAACATGTTTTCAATAAAAATTGACTAGGTCAGAAAGTGCTGTCAGGTCTTTGTAGCGCGGAGATAGCAAACAGCTGTGCTCAGTTTGTTCCCGAGCACTTTGAAGCACAGCTGTGTTGAAGTCCCATCCTACCGGCGCATTCGAAACAGTCATTTGTCTTTGAGTCCAGCCAGGAGTTCTGAGCTACCGCTGCATTGGGTTAACTTGGAGCTTCAGTTTGTAAATCTTAAAATGCACAACTTGCTGGGAATCTCACCACGAGGCACTAGGTAATTTTTGGCCTGGCATAAGGAAGTTTTGGTCTCTGCATTAATATAAGAGAATCGTTGTTCTCCTGAAACCACTTCCCAGCAGTAGATTGTGCTGGCAGAAAGATCAGTCATTATCTTGAATAAAATATTCAATAAGCGCAATATTCTGAAATTCTTATGTTAGTGCATTTGATTCAACTTTTTTGCTACGTGGCTTGACAAAGGATGATGCTGCTTGCCAGGTATAGTGTTCTTCATAAGATATGATAAGGAAAAACAAAATAGTGGTTTGGTTTTATTCCTTGCTTGGCTTTGAAGTGAATAACCAGAAGAGAACCTGAAGGGAAGTCTTTCTAACACTTCACAGGTCAGTATGTCATGCCGGTACCTGTTAGTGCAGACCTTGGGGGAGTCTCTCTAGCCCAGAGGGAGTAATCTTGCCCAGCTGCCAGCTTGGGAGTGCTCACTGAGCCAGCCTGGCTGCAGACATTTGTCAGATGATGAGCTTTTGAGTGATCTGTCTTTTGTATCTTTTATAACGAACTAGGTCTGGTTTGCAGAGTATTCCTGATCCTCATCTCTTACAGATGCATCCTGGCAAATCTGACTCTGGTGATTTTAAGGCAGGAGTGTCCTGGCCCTGGTGGCAGAGCACACATGATCTGTGCAAAGCCTGGCACCTCAGCTGAAACTGCTGATAAAAGTAGCTTGGTAATAGGGTGCTGGACTATGAATTGGCAAGGCTGGGGCCATTCCACATTCCTTTCTGCTGAGCCTGCTCTGGCTGGTAACCTCTGGCACAGGAATGGCACCATCAGAAACAACCGCAGCCAGAGCTTGTCTGGCAGAGCCCTGAGCAACTTGTTTGGCCTCAGCCTCCAAGTTAAAGCAGTGATGCTGACCCACACTGGAGGAACTGTATTGTTACTAATTTCAAAATGCTCTGTGGCATCCAAAATGTCTTTTTGGCTTCAAAAACAGAGCAGTCCTCCTGCAGAGCCCATGAGAATGAACAGGTACTTTACAGGTCATGGGTTTCAGTGTAAACTCACATGCTTTGCTCCCAGTATGGGATAAAGCTGAACTGCTCCTCTTTCTGCAGAAGAGCTTGCTCCCATGGTAGTCTAACATTACTAGCAAAACGGCTTATCTAAGGAGATCCTAAGAAAATCCTCTCCTTAGCAAAACTTGGGTGTTCCTGTAAGCTGCTCATTGTTTCAAGATGTCATTCCCTTGTGCAGGGAGAGGAAATGGAGGAGGGAAGGAGTCAGCACAGATCCAAGTTGATGATGGGGTTCTCCGGATGATAGCGATGGGGATGGAGCTGTGGAGCCAGATGCCCAGCACTGACTCTGTGCCAGGGCCTCCCTGAGGCTGCCTTTACCCTCTCTGTGTTTGCTGCCAGGGCTGCTTTGAATGTCACAGAAGGCTTTTTGGATTTGTGCCTTTCTGACTGCCATACCTAATCTCTTCTTCCTTGTGCTTTTTAAACAAGCCCCATCCTGTCAGCTGCTCTTCCTGCCTCCAGCCCTTCCCCTTGCATCTTACTGACACCTTTGTTCCTTCTAGATCCCAGTCTGGTTTAGTTTCCAGTGTCTTTTCTTTCTGACCACATTTCTGTGACCAACCTGTTAAACATTGGCTAGTTTATCCATCACCTGATATTCTTTTCCCAAGTCCAACCTGTTTCACACGGTCCTTCCCTTCACTCTTCTCTTGACTTTATCCACCCTCCCTCCATCCTCTCTAAATCTCCTGCTTCTGAGAGGCCTACGGCTCTCATCCTCCCTTTTTTAGCAGTGGCCCCTATAACTGGCGGGGTTCAGTTGCTCTTACTCAGCTTTCTCGAGTGCTGTCCTCCACCCAGACAGTGTTTAAGATCGATGGCTGCAGGGCTGCATTTTAGCTTCCTGCACCCCTGACAATAGCATTGGTTAGAAAAACACTTGTCTGTACAGAGCAGCTTTTGTGTGTGCAGGAGCAGTTCCTGGATGCTCCCGGGTGTTTGTGCCGTGTGTGATGTGTCCCTGCCAGGGAGGGTGCCAGTTACTCCCCTCTAGTGGCCAAGCTGGACTGCTGGCACCTTCCCATTCCCAGCCCTCCTTGGAGAATCGATCCCTGGGGAGCTTTATTCGTAGTAAAAAAGAGAATCTGGCAGTGCTGATGTGCTTTACTACTCCTTTAAAACTTGCAAAGATGACTGAATGAGTGATAAACTTATGTATTTGTCTGTTGCTCCCACAGGGTTCGGGTGTGATTAAAGCAGGTTTTGCAGGTGATCAAATACCGAAATACTGCTTTCCAAACTAGTAAGTATTCTGCTGGTCTTGGTAAGTTCTTAGTACCATGTACCTATTCTTTGATCTGTAGAGGGGAAGAAGGTCCAGTTTTAAGGGAGAGGATTCAGAGGAGGGGCATACCATAAAGATGACTTATCACTTTTGTCAGGCTTGACACCCAGCCAAAGCTGTGGGATCCTTTAGTCTTGAGATATGAGGAAAAGAATCGGGAAAAAGACAAAGATGGGATGAGAGGTGTGAAGGCCTCTGTATTTCTTTGGTATGTGGTCTGATGTCTTGATTCCTGCCAGACTTCCTTGGAAGATTTCTGAGAGTTTTACTGGAAGGAGGACTACTGGATCAGGAACTCTGAATAGTCACTGGCTTTTATTTTCAATAGAGTGGGTTTTTATTGAGTGTATTTGTGTTCTGAGCAATGTGTTCCGTATGCTGAGGTGGGATATGGGACTATAAATGTCTAATCTGAGAAGCCTACCTGAGGTCAGGCAACACCATGTGGATCTGTCAGCTCAGACCATTGCTCAGCCATGTTTCACCGTGAGTGATGTTAGAACAAATAAGTCCTGAATTGTCAGGGAAAGTGTGGCTGCACTCAGCTGGCTTATGTCCTGCCAATCCAGAACTGTCTACAGTCTCTTCCCTTTACCTCTGATTCTGAGATTAGCTCAGAGCAAACCTGGGTCTGTCTGCACCTGGTAGTGCCCCCAGACTCGCCTGTCACTTTAGAAGGTACTGGTTAGGACAGAGAGGAATACAAAGTAGTTAATCCTTGGGTGTATCTGAGCTCATTTTCTCAAAGCATTTATACTCTTGCCTCTGTTCTAGTGTGGGCAGACCAAAGCACACTCGTGTTATGGCTGGTGCTTTAGAAGGGGACATTTTCATTGGTCCAAAGGCAGAGGTAAGAAAACCTGTATACTGCACTTTTCTATGTATCTTGGTATGCTGCTGTAAGGAGGGACTGTAGCAGCTGTGTTTGAAAGGGCTGTGGGTCCTTGGTATCAGCATGTAGGTCTGAGGAGCAGAATAGATTGTCACTTTTCAGCGTGTCCAAGATGGAGTGAACACCCTACTTGCTTTCCATTTTATCTCCCTGGTGTGGGCAAGAAGCTTGCTTTCCACTGTCCTTTGTCAGCATGTAGTCATATGGTCTCACATTTCTCGTGAGCCCTCTGAACTACATTCCCCAGTACCACCCTACTGAGCTGGTAGAACAAAGATACCACTTGATAGTTGTCTGTATGTTGGCTTGAAAACTATTGGGATGGAATGTGCTTTGCAAATGCCAGACTTGCCTCTCTGGGAGAGATGTTTGTGATTAATGTTCAGTTTTTGCCCTACATGCTAGAGATAAGTTGTTAGTGGAATGAAAAAAAGTGAGTCAGACATTAATTAATAGTGCTCAGCAATGTGATTGATTGTGTCTCTGACAGATGTGCTCTGTTGTCCTTTCTGTTTGCTCAGGAGCACAGAGGTCTTCTTTCAATCCGATACCCGATGGAGCATGGCATAGTGAAGGACTGGAATGACATGGAGCGCATTTGGCAGTATGTGTATTCAAAAGACCAGCTTCAGACATTCTCAGAAGAGGTGAGATACCTCGTTTTTTAATGGCACAGGCATAATTCAGTGTGTGTGTAACACCAGGAGGCTTTGAACTCCAGGAAATATTTGGGACTTTTCCTTTGCTCTTCTTTCTAAATGTCTGTTGTTTAATTAGGCTCTTTCACCTCTCAGGAGATACTGCACAATAGGTGTCCAAGCATAATTCCTTCCCAGATATAATGTTCTGGGCTGACTGAAAATCTGACTTTGAGCATTTGTTACTCACACTCTCTCTAATATTAGATTCTGCTCTAGGTCAAGTGCTTCTGACTTCTGTTCTGCCTGCACATCAGGCCTATCCGCTCAGCAGTGACATGATTTGAAGTGAGGAAGGAGAAAACCACAAGCCTATGGTCTGGAAGGAGCTGACCGAAAAAATATTAAATGGTTGAGAGCAACAGGTTGTATAAGCAGAGTAGGAATATTTCTCCCTGCCTGTGCTAAGACCACATGCCTTCACACTTTATTAGTGTCCATGTATTTTAGGCAATCTCGCTGACCTTTGACACTGAGAGTCGTCTTGCTCATCCTTCATGAGGCAGGGTGGCTCAGAGAGTAGATTTTTTTAACACTTCTTCATAACTAGACCAGAACCCTGCTGGTCTTCTAACTTAGAGGTTATTTGCAGTGTAAATACAGCTCAGTAGCTGAAATTACTCCCTTCTACCTGTCCTCTTGTGCCAGTGGTGAATAAATAAGCAGAAGTTTTCAGGAACACATGTCTAGCTGCCTCCTGGTTATTGCAGCACAGCCCCTTCTTTTCTTTACCAGCATCCTGTGCTGCTGACAGAAGCACCCCTAAACCCACGCAAGAACAGAGAGCGTGCTGCTGAGGTGTTTTTTGAGACGTTCAATGTGCCAGCACTGTTCATCTCCATGCAAGCTGTGCTTAGCCTGTAAGTGTCTTTCGTCTTTGATTTGTGCTTGTGAAATGTTGCCATTAAATCAATTTTTTCCACAAATAAAAAAAACAACAACATGTACGACTACAGTGATGTCTGACTGATCCCCTTTTCTAGTAAGAACTGAAACTCAATTTTAATTTCTGTAATAAAGAGCTTGCAGGAATTTGCTGAACTAGGATGAGAACTAGGTTTTGGATGGGATTTTTAAGCTCCTATTCATGTGAAATCTCTGCTCCCTGAGTTGAGCCTGGATGTGCTGCATGCTTGGCGTGTCTTTGAGTTGCTTGTTCTGACTTGATTGTTTGCCCCTTTGCTAGCTACGCCACTGGGAGGACTACAGGAGTGGTGCTGGACTCCGGGGATGGTGTTACCCATGCGGTTCCCATCTATGAAGGCTTTGCCATGCCTCACTCCATCATGCGGATTGACATTGCTGGCCGTGATGTCTCACGCTTCCTGCGTCTCTATCTCCGGAAGGAAGGCTATGACTTCCACACAACCTCCGAGTTTGAGATTGTCAAGACCATCAAGGAGGTGATGTAGTGTTTGTGTTTGTCCAAGAAGGGATTTTTGATCAAAGGAAAGGGATTTTTGATCAAAGGACTTGTGAAATCTAGTGGGAAATGCCAGCATACCTAGCTCTGCACCTCATTTCTTTATCTACCTGAGGGAGACCAGGGCCACTGAGATCATCAAAGGACTGGAGCCTTTCTCGCATGAGGAAAGGCTGAGAGAGCTGGGACTGTTGAGCTGTGAGAAGAGAAGGTAGGGAGGATGTCATCAATATATATGTGTCTGAAGGGAGGATGCAAAGAAAACAGAGCCAGGCTCACTTCAATGATGTCCAGTGACAGGACAAGAGGCACAAACTGAAGCATAGGAGGTTCCATCTGAACATAAATTTTTTTACTGTGAGGGTGACCAAGCACTGGCACACGTTGTCCAGGAAGTTGTAGAGTCTCCATCCTTGGTGACATTCAGAAGCCATCTGGACGTGGTCCCGGGCAGTCTACTCTAGGTAACCCTGCTTGAACAACAGAAGTGGACAAGATGACCTTCAGAGGTCCCTTGCAACTTCAGCCATCTTGTATTCTGGAAGACTTACAGTCAAGGTTGCATCTCATCCCTACTGAGGGGCTGTTAACATGAAGGTGAAGACTGGGTGGTGGTTCAGAGTCTGTTTTGCATTTATTTGTGCTGTAGTTGTAGTTTCTCAAGGCCTGATGGTATCTTTCGCTAGTGTTTATTTACCCTTCAGGATAAGTCTGTGTAAAATACATGGCAGGTAGGGGTCACAGGTGGGATATTGAGAGTTGCTTCTGCTCTTGCCCCATCCCCTGAAAGAATTCACTTACAGCATTCATGTTTACAAAAGCTTCCCCTCTCCTTAGGGTCTGCAGTGTTTGGTGACTTTAGAGTTATGTGGCAGTTTGGAGACGCACAATTAAGATCCCTAGAAAAGCAATTACCTTGGCTTCTGTTTTGTGCCGAGAGAGGAGGACAGAGGTGGGACAGAGAATGGTAGCTCAGAGCTGGTGACAGCTCACAGCAGCTTTGTGCCATTGCTATGCTCACACAGGTTGCGTTCTGTTTTCAGCAGGGCTCTGTGTGACTCCGTGCATGCCCATGCCTCCAATGTGTGGGGTCAGTCCTCAGATGGGTACTGGCTGTCATGTGCTGCAGGCTGATGCCTGGCAGTTGCTGCTGTGCTGTGGGCCCCCATCACAAACTATGATTGCCGCAAATAACACTGGGCAGAGTCAGCAGCCCATGCCAGGGCTTGAGAGTGTGAATAATAAGCTATTCTTGAGCCTGTGACCTACCAGCAAAGGACCGTAATGGAAATATTTTCCTTGTTCTGCGTGGCCACAGCTCAGGGTGGCAGTGCTGCAGGAGCAGCGCTTGTGCTTCATGTCATGGTACAGCTGAATGGCGCTTTGCCTGTTGCCCACAGCAGGAGACTTCGTGGGGTTGTAGGTTTTAAGCCAGTAGCTTCTCTCTGTTCTACAAGCACTGACTGCTGAATGGGAGAAAAAATGCTGACGTGTGCCAATACTGCAGCATCTGTGGACCAGAAGAACTAGGGATCAGGGGCTTGCTGGAGGCCTCTGCTTCAGAAACAGCCTGTTCGGAACGAAACATCAGTTGCAGTGGCCTTATGGGACTAAGCAAGAGACTTGTACTCTTCATAAATTCCAAGGCTCCTTTTGCATCTTGGGTGATGAAACTATTGAGATGTTGTGCTGACTGTTAAACACAACATTGTATGAGTACAGTCTTTTCTCTGGACTATATGTTTAGGGGAACAAAGAGCAGGGGAAAGTGAGCCAGATCCTGCTTTGAGGATGCTGACTACCCTCACTAGTGATACTGCTGAAGCAGAGAGGAAACAACCTGATGTTTGCTTTCCAACCTATACCTTTTGCTGTACTTTAAGATTAATTTTAGCTGGGGAAAGTGTTGCAGATTTCTAGGATGTTTGGACCTGGAACTTGGAGCGAGATTTCTATTGGTGCTGGTACTATTTGTGATTTGATTTTCAAATCTGAGGGGTTGAGCATGGCTTTTTGTGTTTGCAGCTTTCTTGCCTCAGAAGTTTGGATATGCAGCCTGAATGCACCATGGCAAGCACAAATCTGTGATCCTGGACGTGGGAGTTTCTCAGTCCCAAAAGCTGCTTGTGATCTGTTGGAGTCTGGCTGACTCACAATTTTTTAGGTTTTTTTAAAGGGGAAAAGTGTTAGGAAAGAAATTTGGGGATGGTGAAATGTCTAGAGGAGAAATTACCTTAAAAAGGGAACCCTTAACACCTACTTCAGTGCAAACATCGTTCTCTGTCTCTTGGTTTACGGTGAGGGTGGTCAAACACTGGAACGAGTTGCCAAGAGAGGTTTGTAGATTCTCCATCAGTGGAGGTACTCCAGACATGGCTGGACATGGTTAGGGGCAGCCTGCTTTAGCTGACCCTGCCTGAGTAGGGGAGGTTGGACAAGATTATCTTAAGAGGCCCCTCCAACCTAAACATTTCTGTGATTCTGTTTAGATATTTTTTTAAATCCCCAAATGGTAACAATTTTGAATAGCAAAGCTTACTGTGGAATAAAAAATATGGGGTGCTGGAGCGGTCTGAAAAGTCTTAAGTATTTTGTTTCTTGTAACTTAAAATGTAGGTGGTCAATGGGAAGTGAACAGCTTAGATCATATTAAGAAATTTTTGCTGTTAGCTATTGGTAATTGTTTACCCTGTTGGAATGTAATAATGGACTTTCTTCCCACTTCTCATCTATTGCAAAGTTACCTGAGCCCATATTTATACAGGTTAATGTCATTAAAGGTGTTTCAGGTGCATGTTTTACTTTGCCCTACAGTAGGTTGGAAGTCCTACATCTGTACTAGATGGAGGTAACTTCTAAGCAGTAAGAGAGAGCTGGAAGCAAGACATGAGCAGCAGCTAGAGGGGCCATGAGAATCCTTGATGTCTCTAATCATCACATGGAGCTGTAGCATGAATAGGTATTTTACCTGATGTGAACCCAAAAGGTTTACTCCCCAGCACAAAATATTCTTGAAATTGGTTTCTCCAAGGGATACACGGATTTTGACTGTAAGTGAGAAAAGTATTTTATCAGAGGCATTTGGGTTTACCCTTCTCACCTCCCTCTCCCTGACTCTGCTTCCTCTCCAGCGTGCCTGCTACCTGTCAATAAACCCCCAGAAGGATGAGACTCTGGAAACCGAGAAGGCTCAGTACTACCTGCCTGATGGAAGCACTATTGAGGTTTGGAAGGGCCACTCTTGGAGTGGCCTAATGTTAAGCACAGGGTTTCCAGAATAGCCATCTGCCTCGTGATGGGAAATGTAATGCAGTGTTAGGTGGGAGGGGATAATTTTAAAACACTAGAATTCATCCCAGGCTGTTGACTGGGCACTAGAATTTTTACAGGAAGAAAACATGATTAGAAACTTCACAACTTCTACTGGAAGTCCTGGGTTAGGATACATTGTGACCATGGGGACACTGAGCTGTTTGAGTGCAGGTGCTGATCTAGCAAAATCTTCATGCAGATCAGGTATGGAGTGTGAGTAGTTATCACTAAATTCACCAGTTGGTTTTGTATGTGGTTTTTGTCCTGCCTGGAGGTGCAGAAACAGTTGCTTTGAAGACTGAGTTAGGAATAGTCCTCAAAAGACCGAGCCCTCTATAGAATGGTTGAAGGAGAGGAAATACAGGTCTGTCTTACCTTCAGCACTAAGGGTGGATCTGCTCCCTTTTCTGCTGTGAGCTGGGATATGGGGCTGAGCAAGTTTCTTCATCTCTTTCATCTGCAAAACGGAAATAGCGCCTCTTCTAGGAGCAGACAACCAAATTAGCATTCACTTGGGAGCTAGTTTTGCAGCATGAATGTCCAGGAAACTCTGTTACTCTGAAGTTTCACTGAAGACAGGCAGGCCCAAACCCTAGACAGTGAACAGAGCCACACTGCTCCGTCTTTCCCTCTGTGCTAACTTCTCTCCTTGCAGATTGGCGCTGCCCGTTTTCGAGCTCCAGAGCTCCTGTTCCGGCCAGACCTGATAGGGGAGGAATGTGAAGGACTCCACGAGGTGCTCGTTTTTGCCATTCAAAAATCAGACATGGACCTGAGGCGAACGCTGTTCTCCAACATTGTGCTGTCTGGAGGCTCCACGCTTTTCAAAGGTTCCTGCCTCTCCTCTTTTAGTGGGCTGTGACATACCCAATCTCTTGCTTCCTTCCCATGTGAAACTGGGATGATAACCTAGATCACCCAGCTTGTCCAGTGGGGTGAGGGCTGTGGGAACTCTGCTGTCTCAGGGGGGGTTTACAGTCTAATTTTCTGAGTCCCAGTCATACCCTTCTGGGTATGCAAGGCATCACTTTTGTGCACCACTTCCTGGGCTTTTGTTGTTTAACTCCTATCTGCCTGTGTCAGGACTGAATAGGTATGCTCATTCCTGCCT